CTCAGTTTCTTCAGAGTGAGTGCAGAAGGAATACTGATGATTTTATATGTATTTGGAGACATTCTCAGAAGAAACTGAGGGGTTGGCAGGAGTTAAGAGAAGTTAGCAGTCTACCTGCCTGTATAAGCTTGAAACAACCTGAAGCCACATGCTGCTTGACCCATCCAGTCTCAAAATCCTGGTGCCAATCTACCAACAGTTCTTTATCCCACATGTTTGCAATGCTCTCTTTGACCTCTGGCAACTGCAAATCGCAGTTTGGTAACCATCATCTAAAACAACAGATAAGCACTGTAAGAAAGAAGAGACTACCCAATATACTCATAGGTTTTAAAACCCTCTCTCTAGTTTCCTCCCCTCTGGTGTTAAGCAGGCACAGAGTAAAACAAACAAAATATCCAACTGAAAATAGATTTTCTGTCTAGGTAGCTTTCAAGAGGACTGAAAGATGAAAAAGCCCAAACCCTTGGCACAGAGAGAGATCGTTCTAGTAAACAGCCCTAGACAAGGTAATGCTACAGAGTGAAAGTCGGTGGGTATTGTGTGGTGGTTGTGAGGTGGGTGTTGGTCTCTTCTCCCAAGTAACTAGTGACAGGACAAGAGGAAATGGCCTCAAGTTGCGCCAGGGGAGGTTTAGATTGGATATTAGGAAAAATTTCTTTACCGAGAGAGTGGTCAAACATTGGAACAGGCTGCCCAGGGAGGTGGTGGAGTCACCATCACTGGAAGTGCTCAAAAAACGTGTAGACGTGGCACTTCACGACATAGTTTAGTGAGCAGGGTGGTGTTGGGTTGATGGTTGGACTTGATGATCTTAGAGGTCTTTTCCAACCTTAATGATTCTGTGAAAGGAGGAAAGTAAAAAGGGGATGAAGCTGTCAGTTCTGGCAGAGGGGAGAGGCTAAAAAATAAGCTTCCAAAACCTGGAGTAAAGCCGAGAATGGAAAGAATCAGAGCCAAAGCCAGGTTGTTCTTGAATTCGGGTGCACCCTATAAAAGGCCTGACCAAGATACTTTATCAGAAATCAAACGTGAAGGCTTGAATGTATTCAAGCAGTGAGCCTTACTTATTTTGTGCACAACCACCAACATGAGTTTCAAGGACCAAAATTCAACTTGCTACTTTTAGGAAACCTATACAGCTTAACTCACTGTGCATCCTGAGCGACGCAGATACAATTCAGTGTCTGTTGGATCTGGCGGAAGGAACACCCTTCTGACCTGCAGAAAAAGGAGAATGAAGAGTGTGAAGTAGATTTGTTTTGACCTGTACGCTGTTCTATGCATATTTAAAAAAAAAAATGAAAACTCCCAAATCTTTCTGTGGCACAGCAAATTGTCACTTTAAAGGGTTTTTCACACCCCTGACCTCTGGTTCCTTCAGAGGCTGCTCTGGATGCAAAATACATATGCTATGAAATAAGATCTACTTTATAGCATAATGTTGCCACTATTTGTTAACATCTAGCTCTACTACTCTTTTTTTTTTTTTTAATTCAGCATAACCTACACTCCACCATACAGGCCTGATGCAGTTTCTTCAGCTTTTGTACTGCCATTATTTCACCACTAGCTGCAAGTGATTTCAGCAGATATCTGAACGCTGTCCCATTTCATCTGGGCTTACTTTGAAATTTTGAAAGGAGACAAGTAACCTTGAACAAAGCACCACAAAGAACCCACAGTTCTCCTTGACGACAATACTTTTTATTAGAAAGAATAACAAAGTGCTTCCCATAGGATTCATTTCATACAGAGTTTTAAAGAAATATGATTCTTCCTTTTTATACGGACTGTTTCGATGTGATGATTTTTCACTGTAAACAGGGTTCCCCAAGATTCTCCTACATGTAGGGTTTCTTCTCTGTACACAGTAGTTCAAGCATTTATGCATTTGGCAGGTGTGAAACAGTACCGAAGAGTCCATCTTTTAAAAAACAGAGGTTATATAAAAAGCTTTAAATATAATACACGGACCAACAGGAATTACATCATTTGCTGTTTAACACAGATTTAAGGGACATAATTCCTTCATACAGTCCTACACACAGATGCATAAAGGTGCTTTCAGTTCTATCAAGAACAATAATCTTATATACCAATATAAATAACATTATCAATTTTTACTATCTAGACAAAAGTGAAATTGTCTTTTTTTTTCTTTTTTTTTTTAATTAACCTTCTGCTTTTTAGCTAGGGACATCCTTTGAGTGGTTGGTGCTTCCTCTGCCTTGGAACTACATCTGGATGGAAGAAAGAACACAATGCAAGGACTGTTTACCCATTCCCCCCTCAGTTTTGGCACAAATTTCCAAGCAGATTTCTTTTGACAGATCTATTTTTTCAGATTTTTTAAAAATTAAAAAATTCTATGAAGGACAAGATGTAGTAAGTTACCCTTAAGAGAAACCATATAAAACATTTACTATACACAATCTTAGTCCAAAAGCTACCTTTCCCTAGAGTACACATATACAAACATGACCACCAAAAGAACAACTGAAATGACTTCATGGGTGAAACAGTCACGGCTATGCACATAGTAAAAGGTTATCTGCATATAAACAATTTCCTTACTGAACTTGTCAGTCACACCCTTGGTTCGTTGTTCCCCATTCCTACGTACAGAGCAAAATGACCACTTAGGAAATATCACGTGCCATCTCACAGCATGGTGCC